ATAGTTTTTGAGTCACAGTCATAAAAACAAATGAAATTATCTGTCTAAAGCAAATCTTCCTCTTAGAGACAAGTGGTAGGTTTAGGAGGAACACATCTCCACCCTGGAAGCATTTTCCTATTTTATCAGTTTTCTCAGCTAGCTACTATTTGAAAGATATATTTTAATTATATTTAACTCTGCATAAGTCAAAATGAGTATTGTGTATAAACTATATAAATTTCCTAACTGGAAAGAAAACTGGGCAAATCTAATTGCTTTCAGGGTCAAAAATAAACAGAATATGGGTAAATTTTTTAGTCATAGCTGTTTTCATTGTGAATGAATCAGTTGAGCTTGGATACTGGTTCAGAATGGAAGATTTTTAATATCAAATATATTTGTCAGTTCACAAGGTAATTTCATCAACAGATGGTCACTAACCCAATGGTCAGTGATAAAGGTGAAAACTTTTAGCCAGAGATGTAATAAGCCTTGCTTGAGGTATGTAGAGAGAAAAATTGGTGAATTTGTTCTTCCTTGTTCTGTATATTAGCCTTCACCTCCACACTTATTCATTAGGTGTATAAAACCTACATAACACTTAATCACAGTTTCTGAGACTATTACACTGGATTTCCTGGTGTAGATGACTGATACCAGGAGTGAGCTGGGGCTGGGAGAACCAGGCAGTGGGGCGGGGGTAACATAGAAATCTGTGGGTCCAGAGTAAATGGGGAGAGGGAGGTCTAGACTAAGAGAGGGTCATGAATCTAGGAAGTCAGAGGTTGGGCTGAGGGCACAGGTTCCACATCCAGCTAGACAGATAAGTCTGGGTAAGACATTAGCAGGCAGAAATAAACCCAATCCAAAGGCAAAGTCTGCCTTGGTGGCCTGAATGGTAAGAGACAGACGGTTACAGTAGCACAGTTTCTCCACTTCTGCACTATTAACATCTGTGGTTGGAGAATTCTTTGCTGGGTGAGGCTGTCTTGTGCATTATAGGATGTTTAGCCCCATCCCTGGCATCTACCCACTAGTTACCAGTAGCTCCTCCCTTCCTCGAGTTGTGAGAAACAAAAATGTCTGAAAATGTTCTCTGAAGAGCAAAATCACCTCTAGTTGGGAACCCCTACAGTAAACAAATGTGACTTTCCCTCAAGTCGGAGAGGATGTGGGTTTGAACATGACATCCTTCAAGTTTCCAGCATCAGGATTCTTTGATACAATCTCAAAGCTGTGAATCTGACATTGTTATTACGAGGAAAATTAACATTCCTAAATTCTGTTAGGACTTAGGACTCCACTTAAAAAAAAGACTTCCATATTCAAGATCAGAAATTGTGTTTTTATGTTTTGTTTTCTACATTCAGTGAAAACTACACATGATAAATCCTACACGCCGAAAAATCCAAACCTTTTATGTAAAGAACAAAGAGATTTCTGACTTGAATCATATAAACGCTGTTTGCTGTACTCTATGAAATGACACACTGTAAATATAAATGATTTGCAAGCAAAGTGTATGGTAATTCTATAAAGCTGCCACACCAGACTTCCAAATAATACCCCCGGAAGTAAAAAGTCCTATGTGTTCCACCCACAGAAAGATATAAAACAGCTGAAAAAAAACCATTGCTGGTTTCTTTCCTCTGAGGTTCCTACTGCATTTCCATCGTGGGCCCTATTGCAGGGTAAGTGTGCCCCCAAAATTCATATGTTGAAGTCCTAACCCTCTGTCCCTCAGAATGTGTCTATTTGGAGATAGGGTTTTAAAGAGGTAATGAAGTTAAAATGAGTTCACTGGGGTGAACCCTGATTCAGTATGACTGGTGTCCTTGGAAGAAGAGATTAAGACAAAGAGACACACAGAGGGAAGACCACATGAAGACACAGGGCAAAGATGACCATCTAGAAGCCAAGGAGAAAGGCCTCAGAAGAAACCAACCCAGCTGACACCTTGATTCTGAACTTCTGGTCTCCATAATTGTGAGAAAATAAATTTCATCCAATCTGTGGTACTTTGTTCTGGCAGCCCTGGTAAAACTAATACAGGCATTTCCCACATTTTCCATCTTCTCCCATGGTCCTTTTTGCTTCCTGGTGCCACTTGCCTACAGATAATAGCAATGCACTACTTGGATGATTTGGATGGAATCTGATTTTGAACTCTATGATAAAGTACCAATTTGACTCATATTAGAAAATGTTTCATGAGGCAATATTCAGATATTAGAGGAAAGAGAAGCATGGCAGATTAGAAAAGTGATAGGCATCAGATTAAATTAGGGAGACTTTCTCAACGCTCCAAATGCATCCCAGCCTTCTCTGAAGATGCTCTTATCACTTGTGCAATGACAGATACCATCCTCAATTTTAAAATACAGCTGTTATTTCCTAGCTGTATGTCTCACTTTTCTGAAGTGTGCATCATTTTCCATATCTAAAAAGGAGGGTTGATACGGTGCCACTTTCTTAGAGTTATCATGAAGATTAACTGATTTAGCCCATGTATCTGATGGCTGACAGAAAGCAATCCATAAGTGTTAGCTATTATTCCTAACATTAATATTAGGTAGTAGTCATGCATGTGTTATACCTTTATTATGATCATTTCTAGACTAACTGTTATTGTTTCTCATTCATTTTGTCTTAGAGTCTCAATTATGAAATTTAAAGACATGGGATTAAAGTACCCCCAAACACAGAGATTTGGTTTAATATAAAAATGACTTTTTTTTCTAAACTATGATCATTATTGCATTCAGAATGGTTAAGAAGACTAGTTAGAGAAACTCTGAAGTAACTCCAGGGGGAATATATGGCGAGTCAGAAAAATTATATTCCAATCAAAGATGGTATGGTTATGAATTAACCATAAATTCAAATTATGAACAGATAATGTATATCATCTATATTAGCAGTCACATATTCCATTAGAAGTCACTTTTACTTCATAGTGCATACTGAGAATTTACAAGTGGCTGATGCCTCAGAATTGCAGAAATACTCAACAGTATTGGAGGATTTTGACACTTAGTTTAAAAATGTACTTACTATTATAAATATGCAATGGAAATAATTTCATGAGCATGGCATGATTCAAAGCACTGATGTGAAACTGGGGATGATTTTATTATTATTTCACTCGCTTGAGTGCTAAGATGCACTCTGGATTTATTTAAAGTAGCAATCTCAAACAATAATTTATTTGCATAGTTATTAATACATTCTAGACCACTAAAACTGTCCCATTTTTAAAAACTTGTAATATGATCTTTGGCTTTGCATCACTGGAAACACCTGCTGATGGATGGATTTGTTTTAATAGCAATGGATCATACTTATACAATTATTTTTATCATATGTTAGAGTGAAAACAAGTTCTCATTTTAGGAGGCATAAAAATGAATATGATGTCATTATTTCCAAACATATCAGGGAATCCAAAATTTATAAAATCTTCTAAATCATGCTGTGACGCTGACATTTGCAACTGCACACCATAGCAAGTTGCATTTTTTACATGAATGGACACTTTCTTTTAAGAATACTTAAAAATGCAGAAATGTAGGCACAATCTGCTCACTGTGATTATGTAGGAAACAGAGAGAGACGGTGGAAGGAGACTGAAACAGGAAGAAGCCATGAGGTTATGGGGAGAAGAATTTATTAAGCTCAAGTCATGTCAACAATTACTTATTAAGCAGCTATTATGTGCTTTACACTCTGTAAAACACCGAGTTGCTTAAAAAATGAATAAAAGTGAAACAAGGAGGAGGAGGAGGAAAAAGAGAAAAAAGACCACAACCCTGGTCTTCTTTATCATATGGGAGTCTTCTGGATTTATGTTATGTTCCATTTGGGGGAGACTGTAAAATCCCAAATGGAATACACTTAGCAGATTCACCTTTCAATCATAAAATCGGGGAGGACTTCAGATCACCCAGGAGAACTTAGCCCATTTTGATCATTTGCACAGCGCTGAACATCTCCAGCAGTTTTCTGTAGCTGTCCCGTAGCTCTATGTCCTACCCTGATCTGCAGGTGGGTGGGGCATCCTCTCTATGGGGTGGGGGGCTCGGATAGGCTGCTAAAGAAGGTGACTGGGCACTGGCACCCATCATCCACTCCTTTCTACCTGCCAGAGTCACTGGTTACATGAAAGACCACTTCAGATGGACATGAAATCCTCAACAACAACAAAAATCTCTCTGAAAGGCAGAGGCACCAACAATGCTCATGGTAGCTTGAAATTCCCTGGAAGCCATTCTTCATCACGGCTGAGGAAAGTGCTTAGGACACCGAGACTTAAACGGCACCATAAAAATAACGAGGTATTAAATAAGCCTCAGCCTTCACAGGCTGGAAGAGGAGCAGTGCGGAGCAATATTCAAATGAAACAGGTTCAGCTGATCGCACGTTCAGTTGAGGTAAATCAATTCACTCAAGGTTCTTTAAAAACCTGGAGGTTTCTCCTACTTTCTAAAAAGAAGTGTGAAATAAGATGAAAGACTTATAAGATGAAAAAGGGTTTTCAGATTGCCCTAGAAAGGACTTTCTCTTCATTGCCATTTGGGTGGAGAAAACTGGGGACAAGAGGGATGGAATGCAAGAACAGCTTGAATTGTGACTACAAATATAAACGGGCTCCTTACAATTTCCAACCCGTTTAACACGGTGGGTACAGGCACAGGCCTGGACAACTTAACAAGTGTGGGGAAGAAATCACAGGTCATGGAATTTAGGAAATGCCGTCTGGTCCAGCCCCTCACTCAAGAGATAAACTGACTTCCCCAAGACAACACAATGACCTGGTAAGAGGAAGAAATCCAGAGCCTAGATTTCCCGTCACCTCCTTTAGATCTTAAAATCTAAGATACAAGTTGCCAGGTGTGACTGGTGGATGGAAATCATGCTTGTAACAAACTTTAAAAGGCAAAATAAAGCAGTAGAATTATTAAGTGATGCCCTGACTTTTTCAACCTCCCATTTCAAAGGAAACAAATTGCTTTACTCACCTGCAGGGAAAAGCTCGCTCATTTTCTTTTTGTAGATTTTGAAGTCGACTTCTAGGAAGACACAGAAGATGATCCGATCCACCTAGAGGCAAACAATAGACACTTAAAGTGAAAGGAAATACGGCAAATGCCTTCCCAGAACATGGTGGTCTTGGAACAAAACACAAACAGAAAACTTCCCACAGATTTTTGGTGCTACACTGCTAACTACATGACAGCACTGAGTGGAGTTCGTGTGTGTGTGTGTGTGTGTGTGTGTGTGTGTGTGTGTGTGTGTCTGTGTGTGTGTGTGTGTCTGTGTGTGTGTGTGTGTGTGTGTGTGAAAGAGAGAGAGAGAGAGAGAGAGAGAGAGTTTGTTTGTGAATGCACTCTTTATGTAAATAAACCCATGGGCAATTTGGTGGAAAGATGTTATATAAATCAAATAAGAAATAATAAATGACAATAAGCTACTTTGCAGCAAGCTATAAATAAGATCTGAGATTCCAGCGGGATACCCAGACTTTATGTTCTATTAAACAGCCACACGAGAGGTGTACAGCAGAATGACAATAAAGTATATCAGTAAACGGAGAGCTCTTTGTCCTACCCTTGTTAGACAAATATATTTTTCAAACGTGTTAGTATTTGAACATGGCCTAAAAAGCTTCACGCAGTGTAATTTGCATGCAGTCACTTGCTTTTAGCTTTACATACTTGGAAATGCAACAGAAATAAAATATAATTAGCTGACAGTACATGAGGTCAATGTAACTTTAATCTGGTAGGTTATTACTGAGTAAGGAAGTGCCACTTCAAAAGTAAAATGTGTACACAGTCCCTTTTCTCTGTTTCGAGAGCTTCTGCATGTAAGGAGTTTCTTTGAGACATTCCAAGAGCAATACGGTAAACAGAGAAGAGAGATGGGATACACATAATAGCTCACGGATATCTGATATTAAATCGGTGACTCAATTTTGTGTCTTGAAAACAAACACCCCTTTAGTTCCTTTATTTTAACAATGTACAAAAAGTTAAAAATTACCCCATCCATCAAACTGCAACTGGCAATTGACTAGAACATCAGTAGGAAATGGAAGTGGGGTATGCTGGTGGCAGGACAGGAAAAAACCCAAATGGATGTCATCCACCCAACCCCTCAGCTCTCCCAGCCTGTAGGGGACAGAGTCATGTGAGCCAAGTCCCAAAGTTCCCAGTAGGAGAGAAGATCTGCAGGAGTGGGACGGGAGAGGATTAGGACACAGGAATCCCAGCTTCCCTGATGGAAGCTCGGAGATGCGGCTTCCTGATACCTGCACAAGTCTAGACTCCCAGCTGGTAGACCACCTCCTGGGCAGTCACTGGACTTCACCAAAAACCATGTAGCACTACCCCAGTCACTGTCCCATAGGGTGGAGAGAGCACTTGACCTTCAGAAATGGAAGGACTGGGGTGCAAAGAACCCTATTTTCCTTTCCCTGTATTCATTTGAATTTCTGCTGTCCAGGCTTGTCTGCATGGCAGTAACGTTTGCTACAAATGTAAAAACTGTCACCATCAACGTACTCTCAGGTGACCTATAAATTTAGGGGAATAAATGATTATCTGTGCAATGCTGAATGCTCGTCTCCACTATCCTTATGGTGTATTTATGCCCTGTGGCTAAAGATAAGAATCATAATGCCGAGCAATAGAATCACGTTACAAAAGGACATACTTGCTTTGATACCATTATATGTATTTTTAAGCACAAAGATACAAGAGTGTAGGGATTCGTTCATAAGCACTAATGACCATAAACATACATAGGAATGTGACACACGAACTTCAAGATGACGATGATTTCTGATAAGGGAGGGAAGGTAAAATGATGGACAGGTAAGACTTTAAACGAATAGCTAATATTTTACTTATTTAGAAAGAAAAAATACGGCAAATGGGTAACAACTGTCAACTATGGGGGTAGGTACATGGGTATCATATTATGTTCTACACTTTCTGTATATATGAAATACACCATAATTAAAAGTCCTAACATTAAAAATAAGATTCTGTTACTACTCAGCCATAAAAAAAGAATGAAATAATGCAACTTGCAGCAACATGGATGGACACAGAATTATCATACTAAGTGAAGTAAGTCAGAAGGAGAACAAATAGCATATGACATCACTGTTATGTGGGATCTAAAATATGACACAGATGAACTTACCTACGAAACAGAAACTGATTCACAGACATAGAGATGAGACTTGTGGTTGCCAAGGGGGAGGTGGGAGGGGGAGGGATGGATTGGGAGTTTGGGATTAGCAAATGCAAACTAGTATATAAAGAATGGATAAACAACAAGGTCCTACTGTATAGCACAGGGAACTATATTCAATATCCTGTGATAAATCCTAATGGAAAAAACTATGATAAAGAATGTATATATATGTATAACTGAATCGCTTTGCTGTACAGCAGAAATTAAGACATTGTAAATCAACTACACTTCAATAAAATAAGTTAAAAAAATAGTAAGATTCTGTGTTAGACATACTCTACTCTCCAGCTGCACTGAACGACTGATAATTTCCAAACACTATAATTATTCTCACTTCTGCGCCTGTGATGGTTGACTTTTTCTCCAGGCTTCAAATGATCATATTATTTATAAAGCCCCTAATTAAGATCAAAATCAAAACAAGAAAATTTGGTTCAAACCAGATCTAAGAAGAACAAGCTGAACAGTCTCATTTGTACTCATTTCTCCCTACTTTTACGGTCACTTAATATAAATCATGAGATTTATTTTTTAACATCTTCATTGGAGTATAACTGCTTTATAATGTTGTGTTAGTTTCTGCTGTATAACAAAGTGAATCAGCTATATGTACATACATATCCCCATATCCCCTCCCTCTTGTGTCTCCCTCCCACCCACCCTATCCCACCCCTCTAGATGGTCACACATCACTGAGCTGATCTCCCTGTGCTACGTGGCTGCTTCCCACTAGCTATCTATTTTACATTTGGTAGTGTATATATGTCAATGCCACTCTCTCACTTCATCCCAGCTCCCTGTGTCCTCAAGTCCATTCTCTACATCTGTGTCTTTATTCCTGTCCTGCCCCTAGGTTCTTCAAAACCTTTTTTTTTTTTTTTTTTTAAAGATTTCATACATATGGGTTAGCATGCAGTGTTTGTTTTTCTCTTTCTGACTTACTTCACTCTGTATGACAGACTCTAGGTCCATCCACCTCATTACAAATAACTCAGTTTTGTTTCTTTTTATGGCGGAGTAATATTCCATTGTATATATGTACCACATCTTCTTTATACATTCATCTGTCAATGGACACTTAGTTTGCTTCCATGACCTGGCTATTGTAAATAGTGCTTCAATGAACATTGTGGTACATGACTCTTTCAGGATTATGGTTTTCCCAGTACTGGGATTGCTGGGTCATATGGGAGTTCTATTTTTAGTTTCTAAGGAATTTCCATACTGTTCTCCATAGTGGCTCTATCAATTTACATTCCCACCAACTGCGCAAGAGGGTTCCCTTTTCTCCACACCCTTTCCAGCATTTATTGTTTCTAGATTTTTTGATGATGGCCATTCTGACTGGTGTGAGATGATATCTCATTGTAGTTTTGATTTGCATTTCTCTAATAAGTAGTGACGTTCAGCATCCTTTCATGTGTTTGTTAGCAATTTGTATATCTTCTTTGGAGAATTGTCTATTTAGGTCTTCAGCCCATTTTTGGATTGGGCTATTTGTCTTTTTGATACTGAGCTGCATGAGCTGCTTGTAAGTTTTGGAGATTAATCCTTTGTCCATTGCTTCGTTTGAAAATATTTTCTCCCATTCTGAGGGCTGTCTTTTCGTCTTGTTCATGGTTTCCTTTGCTGTGCAACAGCTTTGAAGCTTCATTAGGTCCCATTTGTTTATTTTTGTTTTTATTTCCATTTCTCTAGGAGGTGGGTCAAAAAGGATCTGGCTGTGATTTATGTCATAAAGTGTTCTGCCTATGTTTTCCTCTCAGAGTTTTATAGTGTCCAGCCTTACATTTAGGTCTTTAATCCATTTTGAGCTTATTTCTGTGTATGGTGTTAGGGGGTGTTCTAATTTCATTCTTTTATATGTAGCTGTCCATGTTTCCCAGCACCACTTATTGAAGAGGCTGTCTTTTCTCCATTGTATATTCTTGCCTCCTTTATCAAAGATAAGGTGACCGTATGTGCATGGGTTTATCTCTGGGCTTTCTATCCTGTTCCATTCATCTATATTTCTGTTTTTGTGCCAGTATCATACTGTCTTGATTACTGTAGCTTTGTAGTATGGTCTGAAGTCAGGGAGCCTGATTCCTCCAGCTCTGTTTTTCTTTCTCAAGATTGCATTGGCTATTTGGGGTCTTTTGTGTTTCTATACAATTGTGAAATTTTTTGTTCTAGTTCTGTGAAAAATGCCAGTGGTAGCTTGATAGGGATTGCATTGAATGTGTAGATTGCTTTGGGTAGTATAGTCATTTGCACAATGTTGATTCTTCCAATCCAAGAACATAGTATATCTCTCCATCTGTTAGTATCATCTTTAATTACTTTCATCAGTGTCATAGTTTACTTCATACAGGTCTTTTGTCTCCTTAAGTAGGTTTCTTCCTAGGTATTTTACTCTTTTTGTTGCAGTGGTAAATGGGAGTGTTTCATTAATTTCTCATTCAGATTTTTCATCATTCGTGTATAGGAATGCCAGAGATTTATGTGCATTAATTTTGTATCCTCCTACTCTACCAAATTCAATGATTAGCTCTAGTAGTTTTATGGTAGCATCTTTAGGATTCTCTATATATAGTATCATGTCATCTGCAGGCAGTGACAGTTTTACTTCTCTTCTGATTTGGATTCCTTTTTCTTCTCTGACTAGCTGAGGCTAAAACTTCCAAAACTATGTTGAATAATAGTGGTGAGAGTGGGAAACCATGTCTTGTTCCTGATCTTAGTGGAAATGGTTTCAGTTTTACACCACTGAGGATGATGTTGGCTGTGGGTTTGTCATATATGGCCTTTATTAGGTTGAGGTAAGTTCCCTCCATGTCTACTTTCTGGATAGTTTTTTATCATAAATTGGTGTTGAATTTTGTCAGAAGCTTTTTCTGCATCTATTGAGATGATCATATGGTTTTTAATCCTTCAATTTCTTAATATGGTGTATCACATTGATTGGTTTGCATATATTGAAGAATCCTTGCATTCCTGGGATAAACCCCACTTGATCATGGTGTATGATCCGTTTAATGTGCTGTTGGATTCTGTTTCCTAGTATTTTGTTAGAGGATTTTTGCATCTATGTTCATCAGTGATATTGGCCTGTAGTTTTCTTTCTTTGTGACATCTTTGTCTGATATTTTCTCAGTCCCTTTCTTTTTCTCTTCTTCTTTTGGAACCCCTATAATTCAAATGCTGGTGCATTTAATGTTGTCCCAGATGTCTCTGAGACTGTCCTCAATTTTTTTCATCCTTTATTTTGGTCTGCGGTAGTTATTTCCACTATTTTATTTTCCAGGTCACTTACTCCATTCTTCTGCCTCGGTTATTCTATTGATTCCTTCCAGAGAATTTTTAATTTCATTTATTGCGTTGTTCATCATTGTTTGTTTGCTCTTTAGTTCTTCTGGGTCCTTGTTAAACATTTCTTGTATTTTCTCCATTCTATTTGCAAGATTTTGAATCACCTTTAGTATCATTACTCTGAATTCATTTTCAGGTAGACTGCCTATTTCCTCTTCATTTGTTAGGTCTGGTGGGTTTTTACCTTGCTCCTTCATCTGTTGTGTATTTCTCTGTCTTCTCATTTTGCTTAACTTACTGTGTTTGGGGTCTCCTTTTCACTGTCTGCAGGTTCATAGTTCCCGTTGTTTTTGGTGTCTGCTCCCAGTGGGTAAGGTTGGTTCAGTGGGTTGTGTAGGTTTCCTGGTGGAGGGGACGGTGCCTGTGTTCTGGTGGATGAGGCTGGATCTTGTGTTTCTGCTGGGCAGGACTGCGTCTGATGGTGTGTTTTGGGGTGTCTGTGAACTTACTATGATTTCAGGCAGCCTCTCTGCTAATGGATGGGGTTGTGTTCCTGTCTTGCTAGTTGTTTGGCATGGTGTGTCCAGCACTGGAGCTTGCTGGTCGTTGAGGGGAGCTGGGTCTTAGCATTGAGATGGAGATTTCTGGGAGAGCTCTCACCGATTGATATTATGTGGGGCCGGGAGGTCTCTGGTGGTCCAATGTTCTGGACTCGGCTCTCCCACCTCAGAGGCTCAGGCCTGATACCTGGCTGGAGTACCAAGACCCTGTCAGCTACACGGCTCAGAAGAAAAGGGATTTAAAAAAGAAATAAAATAAAATAATAAATAAAATTAAATAGTTATTAAAATAAAAATTTAAAAATATATTATTAACATAAAAAATTTTTTTAAAAAGAGAGCAACCAAACCAATAAACAATTCCACCAACGATAACAAGTGCTAAAAACTATACTAGGATAAACATAAAAATCAGAAACCAGTCAGTCACATATGGCAAACCCCAAGTCTACAGTTGCTCCCAAAGTCTGCCGTCTCAATTTTGGAATGATTCACTGGCTATTCAGGTATTCCACAGATGCAGGGTACCTCGAGCTGATTGTGGAGATTTAATCCGCTGCTCCTGAGGCTGCTGGGAGAGATTTCCCTTTCTCTTCTTTGTCCGCACAGCTCCTGGGCTTCAGCTTTGGATTTGGCCCCGCCTCTGCGTGTAGGTCGCCCTCTGGTGTCTGTTCTTAGCGCAGACAGGACAGGGTTAAAGGAGCCGCTGCATTGGGGGCTCTGGCTCACTCAGGCCGGGGGGAGGGAGGGGTACGGATGTGGAGCGAGCCTGCGGCGGCAGAGGCCGGCGTGACGTTGCAACAGCATGAGGCGCGCTGTGCGTTCTACCAGGGAAGTTGTCCCTAGATCCCGGGACCCTGGCAGTGGCGGGCTGCACAGGCTCCCCAGAAGGGGAGGTGTGGACAGTGACCTGTGCTCGCACGCAGGCTTCTTGGTGGCGGCAGCAGCAGCCTTAGCGTCTCATGCCCGTCTCTGGGGTCCGCGCTAGCTCATTTAGGTGGTGCTCTGAATCCCCTCTCCTTGAGCACCCTGAAACAATGGTCTCTTGCCTCTTAGGCAGGTCAAGACTTTTTCCCAGACTCCCTCCTGGCTAGCTGTGGCACACTAGCCCCCTTCAGGCTGTGTTCATGCCGCCAACCCCAGTCCTCTCCCTGGGATCTGACCTCTGAAGCCCGAGCCTCAGCTCCCAGCCCCCACCTGCCTCGGCGGGCGGGTGAGCAGACAAGCCTCTCGGGCTGGCGAGTGCTGGTCGGCACTGATCCTCTGTGCAGGAATCTCTCCGCTTTGCCCTCCTCAACCCTGTTGCTGCGCTCTCCTCTGTGGCTCCGAAGCTCCCCCCTCCGCCACCCTCCATTTCCACCAGTGAAGGGGCTTCCTAGTGTGTGGAAACCTTTCCTCCTTCACGGCTCCGTCCCAGAGGTGCAGGTCCTGTTCCTATCCTTTTGTCTCTGTTTTTTTTTTTTCCTTTGCCCTACCCAGGTACGTGGGGAGTTTCTTGCCTTTTGGGAGGTCTGAGGTCTTCTGCCAGCGTTCAGTAGGTGTTCTGTAGGAGTTGTTCCACATGTAGATGTATTTCTGATGTGTTTGTGGGGAGGAAGGTGATCTCCATGTCTTACTCCTCCGCCATCTTGAAGGTCCTCTCCTGGGATTTTTTTTTAAACACTTATGTTTTGTGTGTGTGTGTGTGTGTGTGTGTGTGTGTGTGTGTGTACGTTTGTTGGGGGGGGAGGGGAAGGGAGGGTTAGTGGTAATGCTATTCACTGCTACTAAGTGTACTTTTAGGCATTCCAGACTAAATACAGATTTCTTAAATATTGCAAAGAATTGTAATCCACCTTTTAGCACTTTAGGGTTTGTTACCATGGAAATGGTATGGGTCCAAAATTCAGCAGCCTGATTTATTTTTTTTTCCTCAAAGAGAAGATGGATGATGAGGGAAAAGTACTTTTATTTTAAGCTAATTGAGTCACCCAAGTTCCCTGGCCTTACCCTTAGGCATAACACTGAAAATATCTTGGAAGCAAGTAATATCCAAGAATTAACCTCATTTGCCAAGTGCTTGTTATATACGCATACGTGCATATATTTTTATACACACACAGGGTTACTGTTGGATAAGATCTCATTTAGTTGGCAAGCTCTGTGTTTATAAACTCATCATGGGTATTGATCACCACTTGTGGTGGACAATATTTTCCAAGATGGCGTGCAAGATATCCCCTCCTTCAGGTTCCTCTTGAAATGTAATGCTGATTCTCCTCTCTTTGAGAGGTGGGATTTATATTTCCTCCTCTTGAATCCAGGAGTGCCCGGAACTCTGGCAGAGATCCGTGAGTTCTGAGTCCATGTCATGAAAGGTGATAGAGTTTCTGCCCAGTCCTCTTGAGATGCTCGTTCTCATACCTAATCATCATGCCATGAGGAAGCAGAGACCCTGGAGGATCCATGTGCAGATGGAGTCACAACCCGAGCTGTAAGTGAGTAGCCCCTAGATGATCTCAGCTCCTGGCTTTTGAGCTACTCCAGGTAATGCTACGTGGGGTGGAGATGGAGATGAACCTTTCCTGCTGAACTCTACCCAAATTGCAGATTTGTGAGCAAAACAGAGAAATACATAGTTAGAAATCGGATATTTTTCTAGCTCGTTCCTACTGCCATGTTTGGATTCTTGCTTCTCTAGCTATGCGGTAACGACTCCTATTGAAAAGTTCAGACTGAATGGGGTAGAAGTCAAAGTCATGATGGTGTGACAAGAACATAGAAAGTCTAATTGCTACATGGCTGAGAGATTGGAAATCTGACTTGTACAAAGCAGGAAGGACCCGGGTGATCCACTCCAGCCCCAGAAAAATTTCATGAACATATAGAAGAAAGCCTCACTACTGAGGCTTTGGAGCCTGGTTTCCTGGTTAGGTATAAATAGAGAAATTTTGTACAATGGTTGTTCTTGAGAGACTATATTTATTCAATTATTATTCAGATATTAACTGAACACCTTCAGTTTGTGGGGCTTAGCCCATGTGCCAGTCTCTCACAAGAAAACCTGAATCCAGAATTGAGGGAATTTTTTTCCCCTCAAGGCCAAAAAATTAGTGGGAGAAACTTAGGCCTCAACTTCACATCTAAGCGTTCTTTCTGTGATATCACCCAGATAGAGACACAGGGGACTGAGTTTCTAGGCCTGTCACCAGTTCTGTGACACTGGACAAGCCGTTGTCTCTCCAGGCCCCAGTTTTCAAGTCTTTATAAGGAAAGAATTGTATTATATCATTTCTATAGTTTCCTCCCTCCCTCTTTCTTTTTACCTCAAATTCTATCTCTGTGTTCCTTTGGTACTGGTTGTCAACTTAGCTGAGCTGAAATTACATTTCTCTGAAAAGCTCGAGCGTAGAGTTGGCCACAGAGCAATTTCTATGAGATCTGGGGGTCAGGGGTGCAGCTGCAGCTGTTTTGCTGGGCAGGTGGGTGCAGGGCACCGGATTCTGGGCAGGTCGTGCACTGTAGCTCACCACTGCCTCACCTGGGTGTGAGGTAGCCAGTGGGCCCACAGCTTCTCCAGCTCTTGCTGGCTCTCTGAGTCCTGGGCTGGGCACACGTGCAGTTCTGCATCAAGGGCACTGCCTTCTCTTCTGTGGGGCACTGCAGGTTTGGGGTTCCAGGCAGTAAGAGGCAGATGTACATGGCAGTTTGTCCCTGTGGATTCCACCTTGCTCCCATGGTGCCTACTTTGTCCTTGCCCTCTTCCATTTTGCATCCAGCTTTCCTCTTGACCCCCTGCCCTGCTGACATGCTCCAGGCCTGGTCAGATGCAGAGGCAATGACCTTCCATACCCTTGTTTACCGCCTCCCTCTGCTGGGCCCTGGTTAGGGGCTCTGCTCAGCCGTCCATCCCCTTCTGGACATTTACTTCCTCAGTTTCTCCCAAAGTTGTATAAGTTCTAACTCCTGTAACAAACCCCTTATTCCATGTCACTCATAAGGCTCTGCTTCCCTGATTAAACCCGACTGATGTAATCTTTAATACCATTTCATTGAATATCATGGTGCAGAACATAATGAAGGGCAAAAAATAATAAGTGTTCCTCTTTGGAAGTGTGTAACCTGTCAGGGCTACTCAGATCCCAATGACTTGCTTCAAGATAGACTTTGATTGGTCCTAGCCCATCTTCTTGGTGAACTTCCTGAAGTATGCAGGCACTGTTTGGTAGTTAAAGAAACTTTTGTACTTAAAATGACTCACACTTATTTTTTTTAATGTACAAGTTGTTAGTAAACTCAGATGGGTCCTCAGGCTAAAACATAATTGCAAATAATAAAAAAGGTGACACTTCACTTTAAAGTGAAAAGACAATGTCAAGTATTAGCAAGGATGTGGATTAACAATAACTCTCACATACTACTTTTGGTGCAATTACTTTGGAAAATTATTTGGCAGTACCTACTAAATTAGCTGAATATACACAGACACTACAACCCAGCAATTTCACCCCTAGGTAGACACCCAGCAGAATATACATGTATGTTCACAAAAGGACACACACTGCAATGTTCATAGCAGCACTATTTGTAGTATCTCCAAACTGGAGATACTACAAAGCAGTAAGAATGGAAAATTTATGACTATACACAATAATATAAACAAACAGTACTGAGTAAAAGAATCCAGAAAAAAAAAAGTACACGCTGGATGGTTCCATTTCTATAAAGTTCAAACTTGTTAGAGAAATAGGAAAAATCACCTGTGGTGTTCGATGTTAATACAGCAGGTTACTCTGGGGTGAGGGGTGGTGGAGAGGGACCCAGGGGAATGCTTGGGATCCTGATTTTTCAATCTGGGTGCTATAGCTCCATAGATCTGTTTAGTTTGTGAAAAGTCACACTTAGGATCTGTGCTCTTCTCTGAATGTTATATTTCAATAAGAATTTTTTTTAAAGGTTGAAAGTCTTTTGCTACAATTGTCTTGGTCAACAATCAAAAATCTATTTCCGCTGACTTAGAGGTCAAAAAAGTCCTTTAAAAACTGACCTCCTAAAGGCAATCTCTCCGTGTATTTCCACTGATGCTAACTGTAGCTCACCCATCAAGGCATAAAGGAGTAAGGATGTATTTCCTTTACCAAGATATCCATTAATTCACAGTTGGGGGTTTTATGCCCCATAAACACAATGACATAAGTTCCATTAATCTTTTTCAGCATCATAGCCACTGCCCCTGAAAAGGGTTACACAGCGAAGCAGGTTTGGAATATCCGCAGCTGACCTCCGTGTTTCACGGCTAACAGTCCTAGGGCCATTGACACAGCCAAGATTATCACGTGTTCAGCAATCCTGGGAGAATGAATGGAGTCTGATGAATGCAACTTGCTTCCCCAATGAGAAACAACAAACATTCAGAGACTTGGTGTGCAGGCAAATACTGGAGGGGTATCCTGTGTAAATACAGCCTGGTGGGCAAGGGGGGTGAAGTCCAGCCTTACTGACAGATAAACCAACAGCCTCACCAGTGCAGGCTTGGATATTGGGTATCTTCCTAAAACAGTGGCTGCTGCTAATAAGTGAATTAAATTCCAGGGCTTAAGGATCAACGTGGCATGAGTACGGATTCTGAGAGGGATGGAAGACGAGGGCAACTGGAGCTTGCTTGGTGCGATGGGTAAATCAAGGGTAAATAGAGTTACGAGGGGATACCTTCACTGCTGATTAAAGAACAAAACCAAGAAATGGGATGCCTGGGTCCTAGCCCCTCCTCTTCGACTCAGTGGAGTAAAGGTGAACAATCTGCCCTCCTCCCCAGTGTATTAGTTCCTCCGTTGCTGTCTAACAGATGACTACAAACTTCACGACTTAAAAAACAAAGTTTCATTATCTCACGGTTTCTGTTGGTCAAAAGTCCAGGCTGCAGAGAGTTGGGTCCTCTGCTTGGGGTCTCAGAAGCTACAGTCAGGTGTCAGCTGCACTGCAGTTCTCACCTGAGCTCGGGGTCTTCTTACAGCCTCATTCAGGTTGTTGGCGGAATCTAGCTCCCTGCAGTTCTAGGACTGAGCTTCCCGCTTTCTTGCTATAGCTGTTGACTAGGGACAGTTCTAGTTTCTAGAGGCCACCTGCAATTCATCGTCATGTGGCCCCGAAAGGCAGCTCAGGACATGGATGATTGCTTTCTTTCAGGCCAGCAAGAGTATGTCTCTACGACTTTCTCCATCTCCAACCTGTAGACTCCTTTGAAGAGCTCGGGCCCCACCAGGACATTCTTCTTTTTAATGAGCTAAAGTGATTAAATACCTTAATTACATCTACAAAAAAATCTCTTCTGCCTAACCCAGGAAGTGACGACCCCATGATGTTCACACTCACGGGGAGAAGATAGAAAAGGTGTGCTCTCCAGGGGGCGGGGGGCTTGGAGGCATCTCAGACTCCCATCTCCCACAACCAGCCACCTCCGTGGGGTCAGCTGCCCTTGTTCCAACCTGGACTTGACCACTTAGCTGTTCTGCGACCTTGAGCAGGTCACTTAACCTTTCTAAGCCTCAGTCTCCTCATCTCTGAAATGGAGACACTGACCTTGTGGAGGCTGGTATATTAGTTTCCTATTGTTGCATAACAAGTGACCCCAAGCTTCATGGTTCAGAGCAACCCCTCACTATTAGGTTATGGTTCTGTAGGTCAGAGTCGGCCTGGTGTGACTGGGTTCTCTGGTCAGGGCATCACAAGGGTGAAATCAAGGTGTCAGCTGTGCTGACTTCTCATCTGGAGGCTGTGAAGGAAGAATCCTCTGCTAAACTCCTTCTTGTGGCCAGAATTCAGCTCCTTGCAGGTGCAGGACTGAGGTCCCCATTCCCTGGCTGGCTGTCGGCTGGGGTCACTCTCAGCTCCTGGAGTCCACCTGCATCACTTGCCAGATGTCCACCTCCATCTTCAAAGCAGCAAAGGCGTGTTCAGTCCTTCTTGATTTTGAATCTCTAACATCCTCCAGATCTGACCTCTAGACCTAGATTTAAAGGACTCCTCTGATAAGGTCAGACCCACCTGAATGGTCTCCCCACCTTAAGGTCAACTGATTTGGGACTTTAATTACATCTGAAAAATCTCTTCACAGCATATTCAAACCTAGATTATTGTTTGAATAACTGAATAACTGGGAGAAGGTGTGGGCACACCAGATGTTGGGCATCTTGGGAGAATCTTAGAATCCTTCTGCCACAGCTGGCTGTAATGACCACATGAGATATTCTATGTAAAGTGCTTGGCAAAGGGCCTGACATATAGTAAATGCTCATAAACATTGTTATTTGTTTGTAAAGTTATTATTCACAAGGTACTTGAAACACTTAGCACAGCACTGGCATATAAATAAAATCACTGTTCACTGGCTGAGTCCTTTATTTCTATCCTGATCTCTTAAAACAGGTCAAGGAAAAGTATAAGCCAAAGAGAGAACACTGGGAGCACTTTTTTTTGGACTGGTATGCAGAAAGGCCACTTTATTCCAGTTCCAACTTTGCTGAGGAATTCTATCTTAAAAGAAACATTTACAAAAATGGCCCATATTATATATAAAGCAGTTTTTTTTTTTTTTTTTGGTGTGACCATATCAGCCAATGAGAGAAAGGAAAAAAAAAGGGTAAGTTCACAGCTGAACTGCAGTAATGGGAAAGATTTCACAAGACCCTCCAGGGGTTTTGGGTCTGATATTTTAATATTGCTGCCAAATGTCACTGAATATTATTCTTCTGGTTCTTGAAGGTAATAAGTATGTCCATACTTCTGCACTCCACCACAGAAGCTAGTATTCCAATCTAAATTACAGAATGAGAAAATTTTTCTCTCCGTGTGTCCAGAGATTTTTAGAGAAGTTGGAGAGCATTCATAATCCATACACACTCAAAGGGCATCTTTGCATTTTGAAATTGCTTCTGCATGCATAAAAAGGATCCTTTATTGTTGGGGGATTTTTGCAAACCCAGTTCATCTATCATTACTCTTTGGCAGCACAATTCAGAGTCTTCCGGTTTTGTTTTGATAAATTGCTCTTTTCGACTTTTCTTCAACTCTATAAGAAAATATCGTCATGTAGCCAAAGAACCAAGAGTTATTTTGATTTGAGCTGGAGGCTCATTCATACAAGTTAATTTCCAAGCCTGTCTCACATCGATCAAAGTGGACACCCTCGCGAATGACACATCTGTTGGGATCCTTGAAGCTGCTCCATATGCTTAACAAAGAAGAGAGAGAAACGTACACAAGGGCTTAGGACCTGCAGTTCCAAATGGTAAGCACGCCTTGCCCTGCCCTGCCCTGCCCTTGGAACCAAAGAAATAATCCTTGGAAATGTTGGGGGGAGGGCAACGCCAGTCAGAGATAAAGAACAGGTTCACAACTGGGGAAGGTTTTGCAGCATGCTACTCACATCTGCCCCTCCCTTCAGGACTAGAGCCCTCTTGATTCCCATTGATGGAGGTACCAGTGACTGACAGCTCTGAGAAGACCCTCTCAGAGGAGTGTCCTCTGCTGAGAAGTGCACCTCACCCATGCTGAGCCTCTCTTCCCGAAGTCAGCCTGCACCCAGGGAGTGGCTCATCCAGATGTCCAAAGGCTCAGACCCTTTCCTTCAGTTTGATGCAGTTCTAAAGGACCATCGGTTATGAGCTGAATTGTGTGTCCCCCCTTCCCCAAATTCATATCTTGAAGTCCTAACACTCAATACCACAGAATGTGACTGTATTTGGAGACAGAGCCTTGAAAGGGGTAAGTTAAAAT